TGTGTGTGCTTTGTGGGTAACTGAATTAAGGCTCACGTGCTGTTTCAACTAGGATCGACATCACGGCCTTCAGCAACGAACCGCGCCCTGCCCTGCACACGGATTCTAACAAAACGCACAGAAGGTTAAAAGGTAAGGTCACAGTGCCTAAGCAACGACGAAATTAATATGAATGGAGGAGCGTCGATAAACAGCCAAGCATTCTCAACTCGACGCCAAATGAAAGTGAGAGGTCAGCTTTGCGGTCTGTCCCGTTTAACCCTTGGGCAGAAAACCCCCTTTCCGATGTAGATAAAAGTCAAGTCACGGCGATTAATTAAATTGAGTCGATCACCCTAATAATGGCGGCAGCAAGCACCTCCGAAACGTCGGTGAACTTCTTCCATAATACACGGTGCAACTAGGCCCAGTGACGGACCTTTGCGAACATTAATAAACATCGATGGAGTTTAATAACCAACTGGACTGCTATCAAGTTCTTAAGAACGATCCTTTCAGCGAACAAAGTGGCAGGGTTGTCTCCGTGTCCTGTTTTCCGCTGTCAATATCACTCATATGCATTCGCGTGATCATCTGGGGTGGACAAAGGCCCCGTCAGCTTCCTCATATCCACAGCGACATTATCTCACCCATCACATCAATATAAAGGGTCTATTTTATTACCAGTTATTATTAATTCTTGTATTATTTGTCTTCAACCTCCTTTCTGATGACGTTGGATTGCATGCGTGCAGAGAGACAGTCTGCATTTCCATTTGTTCCCCCCCCCACTACATCGAGAATGAAAGTAAATAGTGCGGACATGTGCACTCCCCACACGAGAGAACGTGTCGGGTAAATCATACGTTACGTTTTTCATAAAGAGTCAGGGGATACATTCTGGACCAGCCCGGAAGCAAGAGGCTCAGATCGGGTGCAGATAATCCAAACACGTGTTCACCCTACGTCAATAGTCACATGATATCCAAACAATTCAGTCTAGGACAACACAGAGTAATTTCATCTCAGTGTTGTGACTGCATTCTGGTGTTTGTCTAGTGTCAAGTAAAGGAATCATCCCGGCAGCATTGCGTTTCTAAAAACAACGTTCGGAAACTACTTATTTTTCCTTATCCGTCAATACGCATGTAACACGGACCAAACTTTACGAAACGCACTAAATCCTTAAACATTATTTAAACGTTCTTCGGCGTCAGAACTTTAAAAACGCAGTTCTGTAATCAATGACTACCACCACTACGTAGATTATTTCTCATTGAACTATAACTCAATCTTATGGCAATGTTGCACGAAGGATTGATTTATCATCATAACATAATCCATTCAGTGAGGCAGACGTACGGGGAATGAATTACTGCCCCTCTAGAGTAGCACGTGTTACAGTCATCCATTATAAGTAAAGCAACACCTCACCACCGAAATGTTAACGATTCGTTCCCCTTGGCCTTCATTTCTCTTACTTCTGAGACTCCCCCCATAGACGACATAATCGTGGAATGTCCCCAAAACACAGATACAAATAACCCCTGAACACACATACGGCCCATTAAATACTGGAACATAATCTAGCATTGCGTTCCGGTAATGTTAAATGTACGACAAACCGCCTGCCACTTATGGACGCATCACGTGGACAGTTAGTTAATGAAGCATCTAAAAATGATATTATGTTCTAAACTTCTGCCGTATAAATTACCTTTGAATAGTGAAGCGATTAAATATATTTAGGCGTGAGTGAAAATCAGGAATCTAAATCTGATATTATGACAACGGAAATTAAAAAGTTTGACCTCAAAATCATACGCAAAGCGAACATTGCAAATTAAGGAGATATTAAATAATCGAAGAATTCTCCTTCAAATGGTATAAGTAACTCCCTGGTAGCAGAACCCGCAGATTCAACACCGACAACACCAAAACCCGCCACCGGCCACGATCCTGAGCCAACTCCATCCATTTGCCATCCTCACAGCCCAACTCCCTAAGATCCATCTTGATGAAAATTAATTAATTGCACAAACAAATGCAAAATGAATATTTTTTTTCAAAACAAGCGTTGCGAAAAAAAACATAAATCAGATTCTGACGGTGACAGCACTGGTAGCAAAAGAATTGACATTTCGCTATGGAGGAGCCTATGGTGGGGTACGGCGGAGTCTGCGTTTGGCGATAATCTTTGCACACCGTACACTGCCGACATCTGCTTGTCTCGCAAAGACATAAATGGGGTTGTAGCTTCAGATTACGTGTCACCATCCATGACTGTATATTTCAGTGGTCGTAACGAACCGGATGTATTGAGGTGAAAAGTTTCCTTCTGCTCAAACCACGAACCATTTGTATACTGCTCTTAGCTAGAAGCGTACGGACATTATAGAAAACGGCGCGTGAGTGAGTGAAGTTTCGCCACCGCCACTGGAAGCCACGACTAACTTTCAAGCCAGAAATCCATTTATCATAATGTCTCAACAGTTAACATGGCCTCCTATAAACACTCGCTCCGCCAAATCTAAGAGTCTGAAAACTTAACATCATCAAAACTAACATCCACGAAGAAACAGGTGTATAATGCTCTATATACGTTCATATAAAAATATAAAAATGTATGCGTTTTAGTACACATTATATAAAATACGTGGCCTAGCTACGTTACACGAAGCAACAGAAACCTAAACTTTTATAAGCGCCAATGTAATATGCAAATTACTGCTATAAGCTGTTTCCAAAGATTGCCTGCCTACACGCAAAATATAATACGATAATAAAATGTCTATCTCTTGAACGACAAGGAAACAGAACATTAAAACTAAAAAATTACAATATCCACAAAATTCACTATTAAAACTCATTTTGATTAATAGCCTACATAATGACACTTAAAGGATTTTCAATCATTGGTCATTTGCATATACGAGGTAACAATGTATTTCAGGATGACGTAAAGCCACGTGGAGCTTCAAAATTTGTAAATAATGAAGAAATCAAGGAATATGAGATGGGAAGATCATAACAAACTTTAGTCAGAAAAACAAAAGGAAAGTAGCCATATTGAGAACCTAGATAGAAGTATAATACTAAAAAAGATACAGATTTCCCGTACTTCTTAAAATATTATTAATAATGTGATTAAATTAATTACGACAAATTACAAATACACATAATTAATCTTAGAAAGATTTATGTTGGTGCTTGCAAGATAAAATTATTACGCCGGAATGATTCCCAATTTTATTATTTTCATGACAAGCCCAGTAACGAAGGCAGACGCAGATGCCACGAAACAGAAACATCATTTGAGTCCGCTGTACAACGTCAGTTCAAATGGCGCCCTTAACACGTGTGTGCATATAATTCCTGATGTTTGTATTCGAAGTTACACACAGTTTATAAAGGGTCCAAGAGATAAGGCATCGAGCGTTAGGGCGATGGTGTGGATGTGAAATGTATAAATTATTCCATCTGTTCCTGTTTCTCCAAGTCACGAATTCAATTACATAACTCAATAGCCGAAGGAATGTTCTAGCGGTTGGAATAAAAGAATAAAAACCAGAATTGTCTTTTGTGATACACGTTCACACGTACTTCAAATCCCTCATCAACCCTATAAAACCCACTTGCCTTAATAATCAGTAAATCTTAATTTCGTATGATTCTCGTTCTAAACGGAGATAATCTCTTTAAATAGAATCAGCAACTTGAAATGGTAAAAAGCGGTGTTTTCTTCGCGGTACGGACTAAATTCTTAAATATTACTTAGACGGGCTTCGGCTGCAAGAAAGTTAAACTACGCTACTTCGTTCACCATCCATCGGTGTTTTAAATCGGTAGTTTGTAACATCTAAAAGATATCAGAGTTCCTACATTTTCTTCAGTGACTCTTTACCTTGACGATTTTCAGAAAGTTTGTAACAAAAGCTAATTTATTACAATGCAACTATTTTGGACATTACGAATAAAACCTACATATGATTTTCGGATCTCGGATTTAATCTCGTTTACAGATTTCTCACTGATGCTTTAAATACAAAAAAAAGGATCAATTTCAAGCAAGACATTAAAGAAAACTCTTAAATTATTGGTCAGCGAAAATGATCAAATTAATTATAAAAGAGTAAGCATGTAAATACACAACGAATTTTACTAATTACAAACTCTAATCCCGATTCCTTACTGCTCCACATCTCGTGTTTAAACACTGTAATTCTCATGTGTCATGAGTACGTGACCTGATACGAAGCGAGAGCTTTTTGATTCCAGGTACCACCACAGAGCTCTGTTCTATTAATCCCTCTCTCCCGTGGTGAGAATTGATTGAAGGCTGACGTTTTTATTCCCTATTGAAGACATGACCACTTTGTGGAGTCATTGAGGCACAGCGATTTGAATAGACCAGTCCAGTTTGACAGGATGGCTGATCTAACAATGGGCAATATTCATATACAGGCAAAAGAGGGGGGTATATACGCACATCACTGCAAAAACGGCATAAGGATTATAAATTCGAACAAGAAATAATGCTCATGATTTCGATTACAAGCTATTAACATTAAAAATTACTGCCAGTGAACATATCAATTCACATCAGTGTGTAAACGTATAATAATATAAAACTAAGTCTATGTTTACTCAGCTCTTAATAGCGCTATACGCCACGAGACTTTATCTATTATGTTAACTTAACACTCAGAAGAAGTCTCCCTCTCGAAAAGCTAACTGTCGCTCAGCTAGAAAGAAATACCTCGAAATTTAATTACGATCTCCACAAGAGTCCGTCAGCATATACTGTCTTGACCTTGACGAATTCCATAACCTCACTTCCTATTTGTTTAATCCATTTTGTTATTATTATATTATCTACGCCTAGGTTTCTTAAATGGCCGTAATTTTTCTGCAATGATCGTCTCTCTCCTTCTCAAATGTTCTACATATCCAGCCCATCGCATCCTCCTTGATTTAACCACCATAAACGTGCCCATTACAGCGGTTTCTTTGTCACTGACCTTATATGCAGCTGCTGTCTGTCGTCCGATTATGTCTCGAGGGGGGTGAGTGGAATACTGCATAGTTCACAGAAACAGCTTCAAATTTCAAATTAAGTTTTCAGTTCGTCTTATAATGTTTCCTGCACCAAACGATTATCACACACATTAGATAATGTTAATACCACACTTTATAACACAAACTTCGTACCATTTTCGCTATTTAATATCATATTTTCACGAATGTGAAACTTGATGTCAGTAAGACTGCACGAGCACTCAAAGCAACGTCATCAACTAACTCTTCAATCGTAAATATTCGGCCGATAACTTCGGAAATGTTCCCGAACCGAAGCGGATGGACATAAATATGCTTCTTACAGGGCCTACCGCAAGGAGTGCACTGTGGAACAGGACTGTCCAATTTTTGTATTTCCCGGGGCCGAGAATAATTTTCCCACTGGACTTTCCTGCAGGAAGAAAAAAAAATTACACTATTTTTAAAACTTAATATACAATTATCGTTATATTTAAAAATACTTTTTCAGAAATGGTTTAGTACCATAGTATTTTTTTTCAAATATGATATTGTAATGTGCAGAAATTACGATAAAGTTACGTATTATTTTAAATATTGTCCTGCAACAGCTTGTCTGACAGGATTTTAAAGTCAGTAATGTGTGATGAGGCAGAAGACGAGATGAGATCCACGATTTCTTTTTGAGATCATTCAAAGCAAATAAAATGAGTTGGCCCATATTTATTTATGGAGCGTGGTTTCTTTCAAATGTTTCGACCTGTAAACTGAGACTATCAAGAGCTTCTTATTAATAATTAGTTACACGCAATTTAGATATCCATTTCTGTATACACATTCCTCCAGTAAGTTGAACTGGGTTGAAATCAAGGACAAACCCTCAGAAAAAGAAAGTTGAATAATGTAAAACAAACTTGTTGACTGCAGCTGTTACAAACAGTATGGACATTCAGTCCAGCGGCACTGGACCTCATTGCGAACAATGAAGATTTACACACGCAGGTTTCAACCCCATTACAGCATCGTACAATATTCATGACCCATTAAATGGCCGCATCGTGCTGTGTTTAACACAGACCGCCATTATAGCATTTTTCTTCTGCACGCAACTGTCATTCTTAAGCCAAAACAGACACGATTTAACATACTCATTTTTAGCAACATAGTACATAATAATCGAATTTGTGTGTGTTTTAGGGGGGGGGGGGGGGGGGGATATT